AATGCATCTCCAGCGAAGCATTATTTATTAGCAAGTTTGATTTTTCACAGTCTGGATGTTTGAGCCTTTCTATTAGGAATTTCCTTTTACAAAAGACAGCTCTCTTCCAATAAAACCATACCTTATAGCTTTATAGGTAAAAATACAAAGGAATAAAAATATGTTCTGAATCCTGATGATTAATATGTGCGCTAGCCTCAGCAGACTTACCTATACATACAGAACTAGGAAAAAGAAGAGGTAGCATTAGCTTTTGGATATTAAACTTCCAAAGACTTTGAATGAATGTGTTACTTTTTTATTATTATTAACAACAACATATCCCTCTCCTTTTTCTGACTACCAGAGTTTGGTTCAAGACTTTATATAGTTTCAATAGAGTTTTGGTAGTAGGACAGGCCTTTGGGCATTAACAGCTAGTTTTGTAAACAAATTGGATCATCATTATTACAGGATAGTATATAATGAATAAGAAATACACTGCCTAAATTTTTCCAATGTGCATCAATCCAGAGACATAACCTGAGACAAACACATACTTTCAGCTAATATCTCACTTGATTTTGCCCTGAACCACATGATCAGTCTCAGCCACAGAAAGCTACTGTGGACAAATTTGTGGGACAAACATCAAGCTGTCACAAAAGTGTTTCAAAACTACTTTACGATATTGCTCTAGAGAGTAGCCTCAGATATTATTTATACAGCGGGAGATCTTCATACATTACAAGTAGTTCCATCAAAAAAAAACCAAACAAAAACCAACAAACAAACCACCAAACCAAAAAAAACACACAGCGATGAACCATTTGTGTGGGTAAAGCAAAGTGGGTCTGATGCCTAGAAGTTTCTTGTCTCTGGCTTCTCATTTATGGTCAAGTATATCACCCCAGGCCTAATCCTAAAAAGACGCTGAATTTCCTGAAAGGTCCTGAAGAAACACAGCCTCCATCTGACTTGGCTGGATCAGGCCCTTTGAGTGACTGAACTAAGAATATGACAAATCAGGTGTACAATCCTGGTATCATAAAATATGAAACTGAAACTATTCCCTGGTGATTTCCTGTAGACCACATGTTTTCTAACCTTAAAAAGATTTATTTCCCACTTTTCATCCATAATCTGCCATATTCATTATTTGAAATATCCCATAAAGAGATTAAATAGGAATTAAAGTCCGGGAGTGTCATATCCATCACTGTGGTACAAACTGATGCCGAATTCTAGAAGTCATTTAGCCTTGTATGTAAAGGCAGTGGCCATTTTCACTTTGTTTCACAAAGAATAAGGAAAACACAATACCCCAGAAGACTTTCAGATGTGTTTTTACCCCTCCAAAGAAAAGGGTAGATGATAAAGCTACACACACCTTTTAATCTTGCACTTAGGGTTTTTACACATATATTCCCTGGCAAAAACCCCAGGGTCTTCTCTCTCCCCTCCCCTTCTCTCAGCCCCTTTCCTGCCATCTCCCTTGCTATAACTCAGCTAACCCAACAGAACCAGTCAGTTTTAAATTTCAGTTGGGACCCCAGTGACCTGTTAATGAATCTACAGAGAGGAGAAAAACTCACAGTGTTGAGTTATGCCTGGTGTTGCTAGCTGACTTGGAGTCAGAAATGCTTGAAGCGTTAACGTAATTGCAAGAATGTGAAAAATGAAGCGTTGGGCTCCTGAGCAAAGCGAAAGGTCAAAGCAAGCCCTACACAAAACAAGTCTCTGGAAGATGGCCTCATTAGACCATTAAATCAGCTTCTTTTTTTCTCCTTTGTAAGATGTTTAGAGCGTTTTATTTTTATTATTGGATATATTTAACTCTTTCTCTTTCCAGGGCAGGAGGCAAGTTGATCAGACCTACTATGTAATTACTAATCTCTGAAATAGCATTACGTGGCATTGATCTGCATTTGTGGATCTGAACTGGGTTAAAGTAAATAAATGCTTGGTAGATTACAGGTCACTAGTACTTCAGTTTGCTAGATGATCAATATGTTGTATAGCTTAGTTTTCTGCTGAACAAGTGAGGTGATGTGTTAAGAACAACATGGACACTCGCCACTAATAAAATTAGGATAATCTTTCAACATTTACTGCCTGAAGGCCCTTTCCTTAACTCTTTCAATGCCAGCATGTTTCTAATAATACCAAACATTGACTAGATTAACTCTTTGGATGCCAAAGGGCAGTCATGCACTGTCATGGAGAGACTGTTCTCCATAAACAGACAAAATGCCTACATCTTTTTTTTGTTTGGTTCTAACTTTAAGAATTACAGATGGATTCTTCAGTGTAATAAATAGATCTACCTTATGTAGAGAAAGTCTACAAAAACAATGTTATCACTCACCCAACTTCTTTCCATCCCCCCACACCCCACCCCCCCCCCAAAGAAAAATAAATTACAAGCTGCAC